AAAAGTTGCAGAATTATAATAATAAAATTGATTTTGGCTGTTTATTATTTTAAAATATTTACTGCTATTTATATTCTAATGAATTTGCTGAATATGCTATTATTTGCATTGTTGTTGTTTATATTATTTTAAGAAAAAATCATTATTAAGGAAAAATCATTAAAAATATATTTAAATAGAACGTGAATTTTTCAAAGAGAGGTAACTCATGAAAACAAAAACAAAACACCCCCCTGATGTTGAATATCTGTGTTAATGTGTCTATTTTTTTGTAAATTATGACTATTAAAATATAAATTAATATTTTTACATTGATATATTGTCTTGTAAACATGGTAAATATGTGCTGTACTTTTATTTAAAAAAAAAAGAAGAGGGGATTCAGACTGACATGTTCCAGTGATATCATTGCTTATCATATTGGTGTGAAATTTAAAATGAACTTACAAGATACTCATATGGCTAACGTTACATACAGATTTGAATAAAATCTTAATTTAGACTTATGCCGATCTTTTTTGCATCTCAATCACACGTACTACAATAAACTTTGATATAGATATGCATTATTGCATACCTGACAGTAGAGGCCCCTAGTCCGAAAAATCTGACGTTTTCCTGGCTTTTTTACGATCTTGATAGTTTACATACCAGGAATAGTCCGATTTCTTGGCTTTCTTTACGATCTTGATAGTTTACATGCCAGGAAAGTAAAATATCAAAATTGTAAAAAAGCCAGGAAAACGTCAGATTTTTCGGACTAATCTGACAGTAGATCACACTGCAGACGACATATGGGTCAAGCGAGCGGTCCATGTATTATCAGCTCAGAATCATCCTATTATATTGATGCATGTGTATTTTAAAGCTTACTTTACTTTTTTGTTTAGAAGAATATAAAAGATACTCACCACAACAAAGTCATGTAAACTTCTCTATCTTCAGTCGATTGTAACCTGCATTCCGGATAGTCAGTTATTTTATCACATCGGGATCGGAAATTCCCCTTTTTTACAGACGCAAGTTTTATATCGAGTGGATTTTATATCCTTTAAAATTTATTTACGGCCTCAATAAATTATTAAAAAATAAATCATTTAATATGACTAATTAAGTTTAACCTCTATTTCTACTAGTCCGTACTGAAAGAAAAAAAAAATCCGGAAATTATCTTTTACACAAGTCAGGCATCAAAGTACTGAAAAGTATCATTTAAGTAGGGCGCCACACGTGAACCATCAAAAACCAAATAAATTTTGGAATAACATGTATCATTTTAACTGTGTTTAAAATTTCATCATGGTTCAAGGTTGGCGCCTACAAAAAATCGCTGTAAAAAGGTCTAAATTTCTTTGAAACTTGGTATTTTTGCATTACCGCATCCGGTTTTGATGTTTATAATAAAGCACGCGCTGTTTCCTTCCCAAAAATCAAGACGGCGACCAAAGGTTTAACACCTAATAAATATTTGGCCAAAGTTTCGCTGCTTAATAATGAAGTTTGGTTTAAATTTCATCCAAATAAAAATTTGAATATGAAATCTGTATTTTGACAGATGAAGAACACCATAAAATGTGTTTTGAAATCTCCCAAAGGTGAGATTTAAACGATTTAAATTTTTCAAAAAATTTTAATTGCTTCCAAATGTAACAAAATGCACTACATGTGTTTTTTGACAGATAGACAACATTAGAGAATGTGTTTTGAAATCTGTTACAGCGCTTGATTTTACATTTGGAAGCAATTTAAATTTTTTGAAAAATTTAAATCGTTTAAATTTCACTCTATTTGAACTTTAAGAGGTTTCAAAACAAATTGTTTAATGTTATCCATCTGTCACAATACAAATATGGTACTTGATTTTACATTTGGAAGCAATTTAAATTTTTTGAAAAATTTAAATCGTTTAAATCTCACCATATTTTACCTTTGGGAGATTTCAAAACATAATGTATGATGTTCTCTATCTGTCGCAATACATATTTAGTACTTGATTTTACATTTAGAATCAATTTAAATTTTTTGAAAAAATTAAATCGTTTAAATCTCACTCTATTTGACCTTTGAGAGATTCAAAACACATTGTATGATGTTATTTTTTTGTCATAGTACAAACTAAGTACTTGATTTTACATTTGGAAGCAATTTAAATTTTTTGAAAAATTTAAATCGTTGAAATCTCACTCTATATGACCTTTGAGAGATTTCAATACCCATGTATGATGTTCTCTATCTGTCACAATACATATATCGTACTTGATTTTACATTTGGAAGCAATTTAATTTTTTTGAAAAATTTAAATCGTTGAAATCTCACTCTATTTGACCATTGAGAGGTTTCAAAACACATTGAATGATGTTATCCATCTGTCACAATACAAATATAGTACTTGATTTTACATTTGGAATCAATTTAAATTTTTTGAAAAAATTAAATCGTTTAAATCTCACTCTATTTGACCTTTGAGAGATTCAAAATACATTGTATGATGTTATCCTTTTGTCATAGTACAAACTAAGTACTTGATTTTACATTTGGAAGCAATTTAAATTTTTTGAAAAATATAAATCGTTGAAATCTCACTCTATATGACCTTTGAAAGATTTCAATAACCATTGTATGATGTTCTCTATCTGTCAATACATATGTAGTACTTGATTTTACATTTGGAAGCAATTTAAGTTTTTAAAAAAATTTAAATCGTTTAAATCTCTCTCTATTTGACCTTTGAAAGATTCAAAACACATTGTATGATGTTATCCATTTGTCATAGTACAAACTTAGTACTTGATTTTACATTTGGAATTTAATTTTTTTGAAAAATTTAAATCGTTTAAATATCACTCTATATGACCTTTGAGAGATTTTAAAACACATTGTATGATGTTCTCCATCTGTCACAATACAAATACAGTACTTCATTTACATTTGGAAGCAATTTAAATTTTTTGAAAAATTTAAATCATTTAAATCTCACTCTATTTGACATCTGAGAGGTTTCAAAACACATTGTATGATGTTCCCTATCTGTCACAATACATATTTAGTACTTGATTTTACATTTAGAATCAATTTAACTTTTTTGAAAAATTTAAATCGTTTAAATCTCACTCTATTTGACCTTTGAGCGATTTCAAAACACATTGTTTGATGACTTCTATTTGTCACAATACAAATATAGCCCCCAATTTAACATTTGGAAGCAATTCAAATTTTTTGAAAAATTTAAATCGTTTAAATCTCACTTTATTTAACCTTTGAGAGATTTCAAAACACATTGTATGATGTTCTCTATCTGTCAAAATACAAATATAGCACTCGATTTAACATTTGGAAGCAATTTAATTTTTTTGAAAAATTTAAATCATTAAAATCTCACTCTATTTGACCTTTGAGAGATTAAATGTTTTTGAAAAATTAAATTGTTTAAATCTTACCATATTTGACCTTTGAGAAATTTCTAAACACATTGTATGATGTTCTCCATCTGTCACAATATAAATATTGATTTTTGGGAGATTTCAAAACACATTGTAGGATGTTCGCCATCACAATACAAATATAGTACTTGATTATATATTTGGAAGCAATTTAGATTTAAAAAAAATTAAATTGTTTAAATGATAATCTATTTGACCTTTGAGAGATTTTGAAACATGTTTTATGCTGTCCATCTGTCCAAATACAGATAAAGTACTCGATTTTACATTTGGAAGAAACTTAATTTTTTTAAAAAGTTTAAATTGTTTAAATTTCCCTCAATTTGACCTTTGAGAGATTTCAAAACATATTGTGGGATGTTCTCCATCTGTCAAATTACACATAAAGTGCATGAATAAAAATTTGGAAGCAAGATGAGTTTTTTGAAAAATTAGATTGTTCAAATCTCACTCCATTTGACCTTAGATAGATTTCAAAACACATAATGTAATGTTATCCAGTTTTCAAAATACAACGAAAGTCCTAATTTTTCGGCATTTAAATTATTAAATTAAATACATCATTTAGATTTCACTCTTTTTGACGTTTGTCTGTGATGGAACTCAAGAAGGCTCAAGCTAGAAATTTTTCAGGGATGACAGAGGACATGTTGCCATGTTGCACCTGGGTCAGGATATTATCTGGAAGTGCCTAGTATGGAAGCTCGCTAGGGGTCGAAATTTAGGATACGAATCATGACTGATTTTGGAGACAATTTGCATAATATATTTTAAAGTATTAATATTTTGTTAAAACATACTGAACAAAATCTGTGAAGAATTACAATATCTGTAATTTGATATCAAGAAACAAGTGCTGACTCATCTCATGAAGCGCAAATAGGTCCAATTTTTTTTCATTTAATAACTCGTTTACAGTCAAAAGTTTGTTATACATTACCGAAGTAAAATTGTTGATTTTAACAATCTACAACTACATGTATATGTTATGATCTTTTTATTATATTTTACATAAAAGGGGGCCACAAGGGCCTAGAATGCGAAATCTTTGACGCTTTGTATCTCGAAAATGGGAAATATTTTGATTAGTAACATAGAACAAAAGATGTTCAAAATGATGTTCTAAACGATATGCAACCTTTTATTTTTCTCTAAACGTCCCCATTAAGGAGTTGAAGGGCCGCTAAATATTTCTTTTGCAAATATCTTTGAAACGAAAATCTCTGAATACTTGTGGAACAAAAAGTGTTTAAAATCATAAGAGCTTTAAGATGGTTTGAATACAAAAGGGACTGACCCCACATGTAAGGGTCCAAGAGGGGCCAAAAGTCGAATTTATAAACATTTAATGTTCAATATCTTTTACACATTACGAAAGCAAAATCGTTTACCTCAAAAATATTATCATTATTTCTGAATGAAAATCCAAATCAAAATCTTATCTCATCTCATCAAGAATTGGACGGAAGACCCACTCGTTGCTCGCAACGAGATCTCATCGAGTTATTATTATTATTATTATTATTTTTATTATTATTATTATTAATATTATGCATTTCAGTCAACATCAATAAAACTTTAGACGAGCTGATGGCGGAAGTGAAACAATTTAAGCAGGACCAGCTTCAGCTGTCTTCTACCATGTCGTCTCTCGAGGTGCTCCGAATGAATCTGACGAATAACCTGACTGGTATTAGCTTTATAAAGAGATTTGTATATTGAGGAGTGAATTTATATGTATACATTAATACATTATCTTTTCCGTATCTTATTCTGTATTAACCTGTAAAGGTTTTTCAATGTTGCAAGAGCTTATTACCAATCCCTTTGCATGAATTATGCAATAAAATATGTTCAAAACAATCAACCTGAGTCACCAGTATCAGCTCTTCGGCCTTCAGATCTCTTGCTGATATCAGTGTTTTTGGCTTATACAGAGTATGATCTAAAATTGTCAGCATTAATATATCTATTAGGTATGAAGTAAAACGTGCAAATATTCTTTTTCAAGAAACATAATTTTATAATCAGATCCTTATACCACGGTAATCAAAGATAAAAAGGGCTAGAAGACGTGGGGAACATGTCTCGTCTTGATTCAAGTTCATTTAATCAAAGATGATGACCAGAGATGTTTTTAAAGAAATGAAAATCGTGTTTTCCTAAGAAAGGAGAAGAAAACGTCTAATTTTATTATTTTTTTTTCAAGATTTAAATTTTTTTCTTCCCAGTCCAGAAATCATTTTTTTTTATCGCACATAATTACAAATAATTGGACACGATTCATCTTGAGTTGAACATTTAAGGCATTTTACCTTAATTGATTTTTTGTAGGTAAATCAAAGAAGGTAGGTTTCTCCGCCTCGGTGACTTCCAGCAGCTCATCCTGGTACAGTGGAACGCTTGTATTTCCTTCCATCATCACAAATGAAGGAAATGGATACAACCCCAGTAACGGAATATTTACTGCTCCTACCGCTGGGATGTACGTCTTCTTTGTGAATGTTCAGAGCTACAATTCGAATAATATTTATGTAGACATTGTGTTGAATGGATCAACCAAAGTCAGAACAATGGCCGGTTCCAGTAGTTTAGATTATTATGATGCTGGTCCCAATATGGTGGTGTTAACTATTCAGAAGGGTGACACAGTGTGGGTCAGACATTACCGTGGTTCGGGGTACTATACTGATGGCCCACTTACCACTTTCTCTGGTTTTCTCTTATAGCATTATACACAACAAATTCAATGTGTCTGCAATGAAGATTAGACATGAATATTGTATAATTAAATGTACATGAATAATCTCTTCATTCCTCTGCTTCATGTAGGTCATGCTTGATCATCAATAAATAACAGCAAACCCACGTCATTTGATTCTTTGATTCATTTATTTTTTCATGCATCATGTAATATAAAAATACACATTAGAGATGACAGCAATTGTTAAATGTATCTTTTGGTACGTTAAATATGAATAAACATAGTTTTTTTCGATTTGAAGATTTTGGTCCTTTAAATCCCTTTCTTTGATGTAACAGAGATAACAAATACCAATCAAAATGGAACAACCCTGAATAAATACTCTCAATTATTTCATTCAGTCATATTTTTCTTCAAACTGTCATTTTAAAAAGTGTTTTAAGTCCCTCCAATGAGTTCTTTTCCACTGGAACTTATTATACCCCTAGTGTGATGTGCAGTGAGATGTAAATTTGATTGATTGTATGTTGTTTTATATCAATCTCGAGAATGTTTACTCATATGGAGACGCCATCACTTGCCGGTGGAGACCTGAAAAAATTTGTCCTATACTCGGTACAAACTTCCACTGAGCAGTGAGGGATCTTTTTTGTACCAGAATCTACTGTGACACGAGACTTCGGTTTATAAGGTCTCATTCAAAAGACCGATCTCAATTCTCCAAGACACACAGTGGAATTTGAACCTGCGACGTAAAGATCAACTCCTTGCGATTCTAGAGCAGATTCTCTAAACGCTGCACCACGCAGGCCGATAAAATTGAAGAAAAGGAAATCTTAAGTAAAGGACACGATTGGAGATAGATAATTGTATTCTGTCTATCAAATCAGACTAAAATTAAGCATGGGAAAATATTATGGGCAAGTTTTTCATTATAGAGAAGGAACGCCTTTTGATGATATTTTTTTTCAAAAATATCTTTCTTTGATTTTTGAGTTTACTTAGGGTTCATTGATACTCTAATAAGAGAGATAACTCTTAATGGCATAAATATCTATCATTCCTTCATGAGTTTGCCAAGTGTCCAATTTTGCTTGCAATCTATACTATAATTGTATTGAAGAATCAGAAAACTGAAGAAAAAAAATTACATGAGAGAACAGAAGGTTTATGAACCTTACTGTGTATATCGGGTCGGAAACGTGGAAGTTATCTGGCTCCTATTTTTTAACAATAAGTTTGAGTAATATCATAACATTTATTATTATTATAATAACATTTTACTCTTGAGTAATAAAATCAAATGGCAGAATAAACAAAATTAATAATCAGTTGATTCAAATAACCATGACGAATCGAATGCAAATAAAATGACAACTTCCTTGCACTATGAAGCTACCAAAATACACATTTAATTCACGGATTAAGACGAAAAAAGATTCATTTTTCTAAAGGGACAGCAGAATTTAGGGATATGTACACCCAATACATGATAGAATTACAGAAGTAGTAAGCGCTGACACCATTGGACAGGACTTATTCTACATATTCAATCATATGTAGCCAATTGTAGAGCAGTGAGCTCAAGTAGAACCCCAAGAATGCACATGTAAGACCTTCTCTTTGATTACATTTTGCTAGCTACATTTAAGTATGTTATGGGTCAGAATTACCCGAAATGCCAGCAAAGATCAATAACACAATTTAAACTTAACAATAATTTATTTACAGTAATATATAATAAGTATATGAAACATAAAGTACAAACTTAGCAAGAATCTAAGAATACATACATCAGAGTGTCCGTTGCTGCACACAATGTCCCAATGAAAATATATCCCAGTTATATCTCAATAGTGCTTATACGACAAAGTATTCACAATTATTGTATATCTATGCATTGAATTGACAGGGTATTTATACAGTATTATAAATCTAGAATATTCTAGAAAATGTTAAAACATGATATTACTGGAACAATCTGGACATACACAAAATTTAAGAATGTTCTAGATAAAATGACCAAACATGTTGACCACTCTGGAATGTTCAAGAAACTTAATGTTACTAATTATATACATAATAAAACAATATACATCTCACAACACCTCCCCCCTTAAAAAAGTTTGAATGTCAATGAAAACT